GTTAATGAGTGGCCGCGTGAACTGAACCGGAACACGGGGGGGGGGGGGCTACATGTCTCATCACGTTACGTTTTTTCCTCCTAAACCGCGATAATGATGAACGCTAACAGTCGACAAAGTTCTGCATGCAGTGGACGTTAACTTAACCCAGCAAGTCTGAACTGTAACGGAACTTAAACTTTAACGGAGGGAAATGAAGACACTGGAGACATCTTAACGCTGATTGGCCAAGACTCGACACATCAAAGATGTTCTATTGCGAAGATCACGACATCACATTTTCTCACTCCAATCTGACGACATGAAAATATGAATAACAAATTTCCATGACTTTTCCAAAACGTTTGGGATTTTATTTTTTTTCAAGCACTTTTCCAGGCCTGGAAATAACCATTTTAAAATTCCATGACTTTTCCAGGTTTTCCATGACCTTACGAAGCCTGAATAGAGATTTTTGTTTTTTTTGTTATGTTCTCTTTTCCCTGCACGGGATGACCAGGTGGTGAGAGGTAGAGGTATAAATATATGCTGTGAAGCGGGGGATAGTAGTTTTGCTTGAAAATGCCCATCCCTCGTCCATACCTTCTCAAACTCAGCATCTATCTGCGTGAGGAGAGCAGGCTTCTCGTCTTCAAAGAACATGCGAAGACGAGCTCCCATGTAGAGGAACATGACTCCCAGCAGGGCAATGGCAGCTGTCCGAATAGCAGGGTTAGTTGCTCCCAGAGCGGTCTTCACGTTGTTGATGAAACCCTTCACATTGATACTGGAGAGAGGAGAGGTTCGGGAGGTGGAACGTTGGAATCATTTTTGAAGAAAATCACTGAATTAATATACATATTACATTGATTTGATATAATAATAATAATAATAATAATAATAATAATAATAATAATAATAAGCACTAAAATAAGGACTGTAAATTACCCAGAAAAGCCAAACTCCTTCATGGCGTTAGCCAGCCAGTTGAGAGTCTCTGCCTGGTTTTTGGGGTTCTTCTGTGCAAACGCCATAGACACAACCTGACAAATACAACACAAGCTCTGTAAATACAGTCGACTCTTAAACAGAATGCATTTTAAACTTTTATTTGGGCAAAATTTACTTTTCTTCTACCCAGAGTATACCATCCCTCGTAAAGAGAAACAAACCTGATCTGCAGTCCACGGCAGAGAGCAAGCCTCTCCAATAGCAGTCAACCCCGCTTTGGCGTTTCCTCCACATTTGACGTCTCCGACCTTGTCCACCAAGCCATCCAAAGCCACGGAGGCTGACGTCTTTGAAAACTGTCCTCTCCGAGCGATGAGAGCCACGATGTGCAGCTTCATCTGCATCACCTACACAGGGCAGATAGCATCAGAATGGGTACACCCAAGTGATCATTCCAGCATCCATCTCTGTAGTCGACCTACAAACAGGCGGTTCTGAAGCAAGCCGACAAGATAATAACCGACCCATTAGAGGTGTGGAAATGTCTATTCTAAGACGCATCACTAAGCGGACGCGAACGGCTTTTTTTACTCGTTACATTTTGAACACGGTAGAACAGTCCCTGACGTACAACCTCTTAAATAGAAAGAAAGGCGCATGACAAAGAGAACACCAATAGTACTAATAGTTAGCGAGGTTGGTGACACCACTATTAGACCGTTAGTCTGATTTCACTTTCTCAACAAGAAGCGAGTTGAGATTTATCTCACTGCTTGTATTTACTCTTGAAAAGGCAGCCATGTGCAGTAGTAAAGAGAATTGAGGATGCAACACATTGAGAAGCATCGAGACCTGAGAATTGTAATGGAATGGTGAGGCTTCACAGAACCACGTCCACTGAATAGATCCCTTAATTATTTTATCCCCACTTAAATAAAATATTTTTAATGGCGGCAGATCAAATAAGGATGAAATCTGTAAGAAAAAATAAGCTCCGTTGGTTTCCTTTTTATCGATACCAGTTTTGCACCATGTTATTATTGTGTTCTTAGTAGTGCTGGGCAAGTTAACGCGTTATCGCCAACAATTATTTTATCGCGCGTTAACGCATTTCTTTTTTATTATTATTATTATTTTGAAAGTCCGTTGCTCACTGGCTCTGAAAACACATACAGACAGAGGGTCACAGGAGGGGTGGGATGTTGATCAGGATTGGCATCATCACGCGTCTCAACCAATGAGAGCATTTGGGGCTAAGACTGCTGCAGCACTCACATGAACCGGGAACCGAAAAGAACTGGCAGGGACAGAAAAATGGAGAAAGGTACCGAACTCTTACAAGGACATCTTCATTATAAATCTCTTCCACACGGCGGAGTTGATAGAACCAAAGTTATTTGTATCCACTGCAAAGGCGAATTCTCTTATCACCAGAGTACTTCGAGTCTGAAGTATCACTTAAATGCAATACACACAAATCACCCAAACACACAGTGGAGGAAGTCTTCAGACTACGTTGATGCAGCGTGTGGGAGAAGTAGAGATAAACTAAGGCAAGACAAGCTAACAAATGCTACAGAGAAGTGGATACAAACTGCAGGTTAGTGTTGTGGAAGATGTCGGTCTAAGGAACGTTCACGTCGCGTTTGGTGTGAACGCACCTTTAGAATCTCAACGAATGACATCACGTATGAGCCTCAAGACGCACCGTCACCAGAAGAACACACGAGTTGTATTAAAGGAGAGTACGACTAAAGCGAAGGCGTTACGTGTAGCAGCTGCTGCTCTCACTGGACATCGCTGGGTAACCATCATCACCTTGGAGTTACAGCATTATAGTGATGAACAGTAGAGCTGCATTCACATGCTCTGACTGTCATGAAGACACAACACACACATGTAGATGAAACATGTTATTCATGTTGCACAGCAGTGGAACGTTTCACATATAGTCACTGAGCACAGATAGTGAAGAGAGAACTGCTGCTGTGTAAAGGGAATACTGCTGTTAAAAAGCACCCGATTTGTTTAAAGTGTTTGCAAACCAAATGTTTGACCTTTTGTCCATATAGCAATAGTGCATATGGACGTATAGCATAGTGCAATACACTACTGTTGAATTCATTATTGAACTTCGCACATAACACTGCAATAAATCGCAAAAAAAAAAAAAAAAAAAAAAAAAAAAAAAAAAAAAAAAAAAAAAAGCGATTAAAAATAGTCAGCACTAGTATGAACCATAACATGGCTGCCTATTTAAGTCAAGATGATGATATGTTGGGTGTTGATGGAGCAGCTACAATGTTAGCAAAACAAACTGATCGATCCAAACATTCAGAAAACAAGGATTGAACGAGTTGTTTGCTTGTCGTCTTGCGGATAGACCTGAAAAAGCATGAAGTCAGACTTTTTACAAATAGGCTTCATTGTGTAGTAATTTCGGCCACCTTTTTTATCCGTACTGATGATCATAAATCCAGGTATTACAGCATTACGCTTTGGTATTTGCCCATCCAGACATGTTACGGATATCTCACGGCTGATCAGCTGTACCATCTTAATCAGAAAATGATGATTCAGGGGAGAGGATCTCTTTTCTCTAAAAACTTGCTTCCTCACAATTAAGAGCGACGGTCGACCCCAGCCCAGACGACATCCACATGGCTTCAGGAAACAATCTGCCGCTGGAACAGAGACACTTACCTGGAAGTTGGTCTCCTTCCAGCCTGGTTTCTTGGCCAGCATCCTGACTAAGGCCTGGCAGGGCATCTCCGCCTTATCCATGGTCTCAACAGCCTAGAAGCATACATCAATCCATAGATTATTATTCCTGCATATTATTGTATAACAGGTAGTGACACGTCAGCCTTTTCCACGGCTCCAACTGTCTTCAATATGCAATGTAGAAGTTTTAGCATTTCACACAGAAAATGTTTATAGTTGTATGCCTTCAATCAATGTGTTTCTTCAACAATTGATACTTTGATGACATTAAAAACTTTACTTCAATATTTACTTTAGTACCCTGTAGGGCAGGGGTATTCAATTAAAATTCAGCGAGGTCCAGTTAGAGAATAGAAAAAGGTCCAGAATAGAATATCTGTTATTAAACCACTTGTTTCAGCTCTATTCTCTGTTAACATCATTGTTGCAGTGAATTCGTGTTAGGATTCTGATCATATTGAGCTCTTAGATTGTTTATTATCTGTGACTTCATTTTGGATGCGAGTGGGTATGTTTGCTCAAAAGAGTTTGAGGAAACTACTTCGTCTCATACTGGCGCTTCACATTGCTGCTTTAAATAATCCTCATGGTCTCTGAACACATGAGACATCCTGGTTATGAACTGAACACATGAGACATCCTGGTTATGAACTGTCCGTGGAAAGAATGAACATATAAGAGTGTCCATTCTTGGTTAAAGGCTCTGGTCTCACTGTCCACTGTTCTCTTGTTGGAGAACACCATGAGAAATAACTTCTTTGATTTATATACTTCTCAGACTATTCTGTCTCTCCTGTGTGTGTTTATCTAACTTGGGTTACGATGCTTACGGGAATACACACAGTTGATTGGTTGGGCAGCATCACGTGATGTGACGGGCACCATCATTTTCATGCAAACAGATAAAAATGTATGAATTAACACAGTCATCAAGGAAGAAAACACTTCACCCTCTGGAACTCCTCCATACTGGCCAGTCTCTCCTTCCAGTTGGCCGAGTCCAGCTGCTGTAGACAGGAGGAAGGAAGTACACCCGCAGCCCGCTCTTCACACACCTCAGTCTGACACACACACACACACACACACACACACACACACACACACACACACA